GTTCCCGCTCACTGGCTGAGCGAGGTGCGGGCGCAGCGCCGAGGGTTGCGATCCCGTTGCCCGTCCCGGTCTGGTACTAGCGCGACACTGAGGGTTGCGATCCGTTGCCGGACACGAAAAAAGACAAAAAAAAAAGGAAACAAGCGCGACACTGAGGGTTGCGATCTGTTGCCGGAAACGAAAAAGACAAAAAAAAAGGAAATAAAAAAGCAACTTCAGGCAGAGAGATAAATATCCTGGTAACCCACGAAGCTGGACGTCAGGAGATGGAGAATCCAGTCACAGCCATGTGATGAGCTGAGAATCCTTGGGAGATCTCTTCCCTTCTCAGGGAGTCATGAATGCTTATGTCATCTCCAAAATTTCTCTGATTCTATGAAAACCTGGGGCTATATTGGGAAAATAGAAGGAGGCAACAGTCCAGAAACAGTAAACTGGGGTGGTCTTCCTCCCTTGACATGAGCTTCTTATTCAGGCTTTCTCATGGTTTGGGCCTTGGCCACTGTGTAATAAACAACCCATTTAATGACCAAAGGAGGTCATGACTTAGGAGCCGGGGAATACCTTTGTCTGCAGTTTATTGCCTGGGTCAGGTGGTACAACCAGAAAGAACCAGAAAATTAACTCAGCCTCTGGTAATTGCTGTTTACAGTCTGGAGACGGGTTCTTTCCATAAAGTTGGGGGTTTTTGGTTGTTGTTTTCTTGCAAGTCTTTTTTGGTGGCTGGCCGGTATGGGGATCTGAATCTCCAAAAAGTTTTTTAAGTCAAGCAAAGGAGAGGCCCTCAGGCTTCTCTCTGGTTTATTTCTATTTGTATGTGGCCCGTGTCTCTCATGTGTCTCAAAGATGGTTCTTTTACATTGTGTGCACATCCATGTCAGGATTCAGGGTTGGGAAAGACATCCCTCTGGAGAATCTCTAAAATCATCCTCAGGACTCCGCTCTCGCCTTTTTCTCACAATTTAAACCTGGACATACCGGTTTCTGACATTGTAATATGAATGCACCAAATGTTATTTTTGTTTTCTAAATCAGGATTAATTGTTTTTCCAGTGCCCCTTCCTTCACTTTGCCTACATCGCCTCATTCTCAGACCTTTTTATTCCTCTTCTTTATGCAGAAAGGTACTTGAATTTGAGGAAGAAGAGGGAATCTTCCAAATCTTAAACATTCCATACTTGTATAAAATATAGAT